TGGTATAAATATAGCATTTTTCCAAAACGCACCATTTCAAATAAGATAATGATATAATTAAACATTTTAATAAAAGTTTTTATTTTATTAATTCACAAAATACTGTTATCAACCAAGTGGTGGGACAAATTGTTTTCTATTTCAGGGGAAGTGTTGTCGTATCTAAAAGTTGTTTTCGTGTGCCTATCTGATAAACATCGTTAGATATAGATGTTTAAATTTGGATCACGTGAGCGCCGAGCAGTCATGCAATAACTATTAATTATTATTGTGTTTTCCCATAATACATTACTCTATTTGGTAATCGTTAATAAAATAATATAACCAACAAAGTTTGATTACTATTTTAAATATTTGTAATGACTTATGTGTTGTAATTTTGTATATTTTATTGCACAATGAATATATCTACCTAAATACAAGTTATATTTTTTTTAAATACCTACTTACGAGCGTCATCTCAAAATGTCTAAAAGATGCTAGCGTTTGGTCACTTTTGCAACCGCCAAGGTAAGCAGTACTATTTAAAATAATTTGTTACGTAGGTACCTACGACCTACCTATCTATCTGTTTAAACTAAAATTTGTTTTGTATTGCATGAGTACAATATTATATGTACCTATCTATCTTAGGTAGGTATAAATAAATAAACATACTGATTTCGATCCAAAAAACTTAATATGTTTTTCTACAACATTAAATATGATAATATTACTATCTTCAGTATTATTTTACAGAATAATATTTATAACAATATTACATTACACATTTATAACATCTTCTCCCCTTTTTGTTTTAGAATACGTCATCTTCAGTAAAAAAAGTAAAACATTTTTTCCACGGCAGTTATTCAATGAAAAATATAAAGAGAAAAAAAATAATACTCAATATCGTACTCAGCTAAATTCCACTGCAGAGGTAATAACAATATGTTAATATTATAATATATTATTAATTTTATCACACCTACCTATAAATTATATTGTATTTGTTGTATTTTAATAATTAAAATAAATAATAAATTATTCTTTATTAGTTAAATGTGTTTTATTAAATTAATGACAACCATGTGCATTGTGCATGCTATAACAGTATTATTATTAATTTTAATTATTAAAATACAACAGTTACAATTTTATTTTAATATAATTTAATACCTTTGAATTATATTTTATTTGTTATGTATTACTTTTTTATTCTAATACAATTAAAATATTCTAATTTACCATATGAAAATATTTTACAGTGGGTATCTGAACATTCTAGTCATTGGCAATTCCCTTTACTTAATGAAGCACAAACAAGTAACAATAATTATGTAAATACAAATGGAAAACAATTTATTATTTTACTATTATTCAGTTATATAGCATATCTTATATTTTGTAGGATGATGTACTTGACATTGAAAATATGGATTTTGTTTGTCTAAACTATAACAATCAAGAAGAAAATAATGACCAGTCTTTTAATACATCGCCAGTTGTAGTCATTGAAATTCCAGTCCTTGCAGGTACTTCAACAGCAAATACTTCCATTGAAACACCAAATAACATATTATTAAATAATGACTTAAATGTTTCATCAAATGATATTATAGCTGAGCAAATTGACATAAGTTTCAATAACTTAACTAATGTACCAATTCCTGATCCAGAATATATTGATGAAATTACTTGTATTGCTGGAGGAAGGAAAAAAAAGATTATACACCAGAAGCAGTTAAAAAATATTGCTATCAACCACATTGAAAACAACTGGCAACTAAATAATTGCAGTCATATGGAGAGTCCTGAAATTACAAGTGTATGCAAAGTATCAAGATTAACACATGATGATATTAACATTTTCAAAAAAAAATTATCTGATATTTCTGAAAAAGTCAAGCAAGACAGATTTTTATTAGATATGATGTCAGTATCAAAAGTAAGAAGAACTGATCGACGCAAAACTAATCGTAAAGAAAGAATTTCGATTAATTATTTTATACCAACTAAAGAAGGTGATAAATACCGTGTTTGCTTAAATGCTTTTTCTTCCATCACATCAATAAAAAGAAAACGTTTTAATATTATTGCTAGAAATTTTAAGACAACTCAGTTAAGTCCTATTGAAAAGAGAGGAGGATCTCGTGTATCTGCAAAAAGTGAGGAAATAACTAAGTCAATAATTGATCACATACTGGCATTTAAAGTAAAAAAGTCCCATCATACAAGAAAAGATAGTAATAGAAGTTATCTACAACCTGGTTTATCAGTAAATATTATGTACAAAGTATGGAAATGTGATAGAATAAAAAACAATAAACCTATAGCTTCATTTAGCAAATACTATAATGTATTTGTATCCAAATTCAACTTAGCATTTGGTCATCCTCGGCAAGATGTTTGCTCATATTGTACTGAAATGATAACTAAGATAGAAAAAGAATTTGAACAAGAAAAGAAAGAAGAAATTAAAACTGATTTGCAAATTCACAAAAAAAAATCAAAATTGTTTTTTATGAAGATGGCTGAAAAAAAAGAAAAAGTAGTTTCAGTCTCTTTTGACATGATGCAGACTCAGCCTTTACCCAAACTCAGTGTAACCGATGTATTTTACTGTAGACAAGTATGGCTTTATAATATAACATTTGTAATAAATTCAGAGGGTGTGGAAAATAGAAATACTTGTCATACCTATACGTGGCTGGAAACTGAAAGCGGCAGGGGACCTAATGAGATATGTTCAGCATTAATTTCTTTTTTAAGCTATTTGGAAGATAAAATAAAGCAATCTATGTCCCCAGATTAGTATCCTGAAACTTTAAATTTGTTCTCAGATTCTTGTTCTGCCCAAAACAAAAATAAGTATATGATAACTACACTATTATACTACATAAACTATAAATCTTCTATATTTAATAACATTTATCACATATTTCCAGTTCGGGGGCATAGTTACATGCCTCCTGATAGGATATTTGGACGAATAGAACAAAAGCTTAGGAAAAAAGAAAATATTGTGTCACCTAGTCAGTATTATGATGTTTTTAAAGAAGAAACCTCAGTTCATGTCTACGGCAAAGACTTTTTGATGTATAATTTTAAAAATGCAACAACAAAACAGACAAAATCAGTTTTAGGTTTTAAAACTACAGAACAAAAAGTATTTTCTTATGTGAAAGGGTTACACACAGTTGGTATAACACCATCTTATACTGATACACAAGTTCGATTAGACATTTTAAAAAGGAACTCTAATCTTAAATTATTTGAAGACAATTTAGAAGTTTTACCAAAAATAAGTCACGTAAAACCAGCAAAAAAAAAAGATATAGCTAGTTTATTAAAATACTTTTGTATACCTGAAGATGCAAAACAATTTTATGATGATGTGATGCAAGAAACCACTAATAATATTGTTTTCGATGATGAAAACCCTGAAGGTGCAGCTTATTATGATGAAGATGAATGTTAACAAATTTGTATTGTATTTATAATAAGTAATAATATTCAAGTTAGTATAGTATTTATTTGAATAATAAAAACATTGAAGGTTAGTTAATATTGCATTAACCTAATTTTATTATATAAATATTTTTTTTTTTTTTTGTAGAGAAGTGATGACATTTTATTTTTAATTATATTTTAATCTTATAAAAAAGTTTCAAACCTTTGTTAATAAAATAAAAATGTATTTGTTTAAAGTTCAATATAAAATTGTAATATCATTAAAAATTTCTATTTTTTTTTCCTAACAATAAAATGTTTTATTTTTCAAAACGGTCTATTTCTGGAAAAAGTATGTTTTGATAAAAAGTCTATAATTTTCTGCAAAATTTCCTATTTCCTTCTATCTTTATCTCTTAGAGTACTATTTCCTAAAATAGTCCCTTTTGAACAAAATCCCAAATTAAAAAGAGGAAAAAATTGATGAAAAATTAATAAAACTTTTATTGTGCCAATCAGTTTAATTGCACTTTTTCTATAGATTAAGTGTAATTCAGTTATTATATAATTTCTATGGATCTTGGAACAAAAAAATGTGTTTCCTGAACAATTTTATATTTGGCAATAGTGCGCTTTGGAAAAGAACCCCTCATATGTGAATTAGACATTATTAAGTTTCTAAGGCTTTTCTGGGTGAATTAAAATCATCGACTGTAACGTCTCCAAATCCTTTATTTGTATGTTCGTTTTCTTCAAACTCATCGTTGGAGAAATATAATTTTCTGAAAATATAAAGTTGTAAAAAATATCTGAGTACCTACCTAATAATTATTAAAATAATTTAATATTAAAAATTTTACCTCTTAGATGATTTACTAGTCGTGCTCAGAGTAGTACCAGTGTTGCTATAAATTATTAAAATGTATTTTATATTGTTTATTTTACTCCTCTAAACAGACATGCGGTTTGGATTATGTTTTGTGACAGCCTCTGGCCATAATAATATCTACTATATACTGAGCCTTGCTTATAATTACTGGTTGTGAAATGATTACCGCAGATTCTGCTCCAGATAGAAATTGGGTAATCTTTTAATTTGAAAATTTATTTCCTTCTATTTTCATTTTTTGGAAATCTATATTTGTGAACAAATTAGACTGGCACCATATTATTAGGAAATATTAACAGTACAACTAGAAAATAATACTTACAAATGAAAATTAAGGTAATGTGGCGAGGCACAGAGCACTACCTAAGGATCAGTGTTGTAAAGTATTTGAGTAAAAGTATTTGAGTAAAAGTATTCAAATACTTTTTTCCGTATTGAATACTTTTTCAAATACTTTTATTTTTGAAGTATTTGAACGGTATTTTAAATACATTTTTTTACTATTGAATACTATTTTATTGAATACTTTTTTTATTCCTTCAACTTTTTATTCATTGTCAAATAATAATAATGTCTTAATAATATTATAATATATATTTATCATTTATGAACAATTCTATATTGGTTTTAGTTTTCGTCTATTAATAGCTAATTAATATTAGTTACTATGAGAAACCGTCTGTTTATCGTCGACACTCGACGACGATTGGAACGGTACGTTTCGGTACCTACTACCTACCAATATAGTATATTATCATAGCGAAATATTATACGAACATTAGGTAGGTAAGGTATGTCGTATAGGTACGCATTTTTTTGTTTTGTATTTGAAAATTATTTCAAATACTTCTAAAAAGTATTTGAGTAATACTCAAATACTTTACAATAGATAGTATTTGGGTGGTATTTTAAATACTTTATTTTATAAGTATTTGAGTAATTACTCAAATACTTTTTAAAAGTATTTTTTACAACACTGCTAAGGATTCATCTTCTTTGCCATTACGTCCCTATGGCATGCAGCCTGACTGAATAGAGTCAAACTCTAAAATAAAACAATGGTTGCATCATGTAAATAAACACAAGTTAGTATACCATCCAGACACACTTTCTTGTTCGCAAAGGTGGGTACCATAAGCTATATTTCATAATAATATGTTTATAATTATTTACTTATTTTAGTATTTTATTAATATAATCTTATTTTTTTGTAGTTTTTTTGAGGTACAACATGATGAAGAGCAAAAGAACGAGATTTCTAGCAGTGGTATAAGTGATGAAAATGTTATTATACTAAATAAAAGTGTTCAGAATAATTCTGATAATATATGTACGACATATTTTAGCTGAAGGATGCGGTCTACCTGCGACCGGCCGGTTTTTAGACAGGCCTAAATTTATTTTAGATTCTGAGTGGAACGATGAATGTATTAATTTTACAAAGTTGTGTGTTTTATTTTTTTATTTTTGTGTGTCTGTCATCAAGTTTTAGGACAGTAAAAGTACTTGGATTTTCTTCAACAGTAGCTTTTCTAATAGGAAAGTGAATCTAGTTGGTACTTTGGGGGGTCAAAAATGAAAATTGCTCCGATTACTGATCGTCTTTGGGTGTGTAGTAAATGATCATTAGTGTGTGTATACTCCCATACCATCACCAGCGACCCTCATCAATTTACAATACATTGTTATTTCTTATCTGGTTTATGGTCACACGCACGCACATCAACAAGTCATTTAATGTCTAGATCAAAATATTCAAAACCAATTTATGGCAGTGAAATAGCCGTCGCACTGACAAAAATTAAGGTACTTCTAGTGGTTTGATTTAAAAAATGTTAAGATGTTTGTATTGGTAAACAAGTTTAATTTGCATCGGTAGGAGCACTTTTTCAATTTTAGCATATTCTTAACGAGAATAAATATTTTACAATTTATAAATGTATGAATTTTTAGTATTGAATATATTCAAAAATATCAAAAATATGCTCCGACCGATGCAAAGTAGACTTGTTGAACAATTAAAATATCTTTACATTTTTGAAATCGAACCATTAGAAGTACTTTAATTTTTGTCAGTCGCTACTCACTAAGGTCGTTTTGATGAAAAATTAATAGGGTTTGCAGGGTCCTTAAAACTTTAATAAGACTTTTTGGGTGAACCCAACAATATCGCAACAACCGGTAACAACAATAAGGAATTACGGAACATCAGACATCCAAACATTCAAATTTCATTGTATGAACATTTTGGTTATTAATTCAAACAAATCAAGTTTAGCACCCACTTGAATTTTTAAATTTTTTTTCGGAAACCTTTGTGTTTCGATGAGTTAAGAACGATGGGGCAAAAATTAATTGGCAGAATAATCATTAGTTTTTAAGATATACCCCTATACGAAGTTTACGATTTTTGGTGTCTTACCCATTGCGCATAACGTTTACCACGCTTATAACGAATTATTTTTTATTTAAAAATAAAAATAAAAGGTAAATTAACGTATTAAGAAAGTTGGTAAGTGGATGTTGCTCTGCTGTTCAGTAGTTTACAAGTGGGTCACTGCGTATAATGGATGGTATTAAATTTGAAATCAATGATATAATATCATTGTATAGTGTCTATCCATATGGATAAATCACCAGAAATTCGTTAATTTACCTCTATAAAAACCCCCCAACAAATACATGCGTTTGTTGTGTTCTGTTAAAATTCAAGTTAAAACCCAAATGTTGGAGGGGTTCCAGTCGGTCATTTTCTAAGGAGTAAGAATTGGGAAATTATGTGGCAAGTACAACCCTATGCAAAAGTGTGCGAGTGTAAATTATTAATTGGTGTCCCAAGTAGGAGGGTGGTCACTACGCCATACGTTCGTCGTTAAGGTGTTCAGGTTATTTTCATAAAAAACCTCGATAGTTTAAAGTTTAGGTTCGGATCTAGATGAAGACGGATGAAGATAGCTGTTTGTTCAGTGGCTGTATACTCCACGTGACCACGTCTGTGTTCTAGGAATGGCACAGCTTGGTTTTACCGTAAGATTCGATGTTTGCACATATGTATGTTTCCATATTATTTGGGGCTAAAATTTACTTTTCAGATTTAAAATAAATATTCATTGCCACGGACCAGCTGTTCACTGGGTGACGTAGAAGCATATATTTTTATTCCAAAAAGCGCAATGTATAAAATACACGATACGAGCCCAAACAATCCAAACGCCGTCTTCGTATCACCACGAACAGGTTAATATGTACCTATTTTGCCTATACTATACGCCGGCCTACTTACAATTTTAAAATTGCTTATTTGGAACTCCTTAAAAACTGTCAGTTTACAAACTCTTTAATAATTGTAGTCTGGAGTGCAGTGGGGGATCCAGGGCTTAATTTTCGGTGGGGAGTGGGACAAAAGTACAAAATTGTCTAAACACAGGGTAAAACAGAGGAAAACTACGGACATGGATCCCCCCTGGATCCAC